TATGTATATGTATATGTATATGTATATGTATATGTATATGTATATGTATATGTATATGTATATGTATATGTATGTATGTATCTGATGAGAGCTAAATAGCTTTCTATAGATCTATACTAGTCTCCCTTTATTTATTTATCAGCACAAATAAAAAAACACAAATATAACAAAGGCAACAGTAAAAAAACATTGGGTTTCTGTCGTGATGGACTCTTGTGACGAACCGATTGACAGATGATGGAAGCAGTTAACTTCCTCCCATAATTGGGGCTTACCAGGGGTTGTAAAAATCATATATATATATATATATATATATAATGTTTGTGTATATATGTGTGTGCGTGTATGTATATATGTTTGTGTGTGTGTCTATAATTGCTGAATGTTTACAAATTCATGCAATCTCACAAGATTCTGGCTGACTCTTGAGATTTCTGAGATCTTGGGATGAGGTTGTCAACACTTTGTAATATTTGAGGTGATTTTGGTGAGGACACTAATTTTGTGTGAAAAGTTTTATCTTCGATATGTGTTATATATACATCATATGTGTAGAATTGTGTCCTTCACATTGTAATATGTGTTTGTAATTTGCTCTTACTGTTCTGCAATTCTGCGTTAAAAAAAAACTCTGCACACCCAGCATCTTGATGAGCAAAAAGGTTTGAATTGGCTGACTTGAAAAAAAAAATCTGCAATTCATAATTATTTAATTTTCTTTTTGAACCCAATCCAGAATATTAAAAGGTCACACTGTTCTTCAAACAGATTTTGTATTTAGTTTGCTGCACTCAGGCAACAACAGTATTGTTCTGCATAATTGCATTTCCAATCAAAGGAAAGAAAAACGGTTTGCTTTAAATCATTGCGGATTTTTTTATTCCAGATAAATCCCCAAGTCCCAAACATTACTCAGATATTAGCAAAAGATCTCAATCATTACTGCACAGTAAAAAATTGATTTGGCAATTGTTCAAAGTTACAATAGCACTGAAAAAGGGACTTGCAACCAGTCCTCACATTTATAGCAATAGCACTTAGATTTATATACCACTTTACAGTGCATTACAGCTCTCACTAAGTGGTTTACAGAGTCAGCATATTTGCACCCAACAATCTGGGTCTTGGAGGGATGAAAGGTCAAGTCAACCTTGAGCCTGGTGAGATTTGAACTGCCAAATTGCAGGCAGCCGGCAGGCAGCAGAAGTAGCCTGCATTGCAGCACTCTAACCACTGTACCACTGAGGCTCTGATTATGATTTTTGCAGCAGCCCCATGGTCACGTGTTCAAACTGGGCACTTGACACCTGGCATTTGTTTACAATAGTTGCAGTTTTGGGGGGAGGGGGGTCATGTGATCACCATTTGCGACCTTAGTCTTAACTGACTTCCAACAAGCAAAGTCAAAGATGGAATCAGGATTCATTTAACAACCACGTGGTGAACGGATGTAGTGATTTGCTTAATGACCATGGCAAAAAAAGGACACAAAATTGGGTATGATTAACTTAACTGCTTTGCTTAAGAATGGAAATTTTGGTCCCAACTGTGTCCTAAGTCAGAGACACACCCCCCCCCCTTATACTGAAGGTGCAAGCGGTGGGACATGTTCTCTAACCCCACCAGTCAATTGATATATTTGATAAAAGTATCAGGGAACCGTTAGTTCTCTAGATGTTGCTAAAAAATAACTCAGAACAACTGGTGCCACTCTGGCCTAAAATGAAGAATGCTGGGAACTGTAGTTCTGTTTCTGCTTTATATTTTAAACAAAATATAGGTAGTCCTTGACATAAAACAATTCATTTAGTGACCGTCTGAAGAAACAACAGCAATGAAAAAAATGACTTATGACCATTGAAGCCTCCCCATGATGATGTCATCAAAATTCAGACGCTTGGCAACTGACTCACACTTATAGCGGTTGCTGTTTCCTGGGGCGACGTGATTCCCCTTTTGCAACCTTCTGACAAGTAAAGTCAATGGGGAAGACAGATTCACTTAACAACCATGTTACTAACGTAACACCTCTAGCAATTCACTTAACAACTGTAGCAAGACAGTTCATAACATGGGGCAAAACTCACTTAATAAATTCCTCACTTAGAAACAGAAATTTTGGACTCAATTGTGGTCGTCAACTGAGCAGTACCCGTCATGGCCAGCTGATGGTGAAGAGAACAGTACCATATAATAGATGTACATAACAGGCACAAGTTTGGCCAATGTAGTTGGCCTATCTGACAAACTGCCCAACCAGCCAGGAGCAATGGAGAAGATAGAGAGGTACGAACACTCCCCTACCTTGTTGGTTTCTTGGCTACAACGTTGATGTTCTTCCCGCAAAGTACGCTGCCGATCTGGAGATACTTCAGCCCCCGATGGTGTCTGGGTTCCACTCTCCCGCAGTGTTGCAATGTGCTCTTTGCGGCAGGCCTTGTGATAAAGAGTTTTGGCCTTCTCTGCCTGAATGTAGAAGTTGAAGAGGATGAGGAGGAAAAGGATGAAAAGTCAGGACAGTTGGGACCCAGTAGTCCCAGAAATCCTTCTCCTTAGCTTCCATATACTCTTAATTTATGGAGTCAGTGGGAAGGAAATAAGTCTACATAGGCTGCCAATGCTAGCCTCCTACTATTCATAAACTGAGGACTCCATCCAACCTCATTCTATTGCTTCATGTTGGACATGGTTGGAAAAGGGTAGGGATCAGGGTAAAAGGGAAAGAGAGATACAAGCTCCCAATAAAGATAAACCTTTATTTCTCTAAAGCTTCTTCTGTTTCCTAAAGAAACCTAGATCCTTGGATTCTATTCCTCCATGTCTTTACCTATCTCTAGGTAAATGTAAAGGTTCCCCACATACATTTGTGCTAGTCATTCCTGACTCTAGGGAGCGGTGCTCATCTCCGTTACAAAGCCAAAACTGAATTGTCCGAAGACGGTCCGTGTTCATGTGGCTGGCATGACTAAATGCCAAAGGCACATGGAATGCTATTACCTTCCCACCAAAGGTGGTCTCTATTTTTCTACTTGCATTTTTACATGCTTTCGAACTGCTAGTATGGCAGAAGCTAGGACAAGTAACGGGAGCTCACTCCGTTACAAGGCGCTCAGGATTCGAACCGCCAAACTGCCAAACTTTCTAATCAACAAGCTCAGCGTCTTAGCCACTGAGCCACCGCATCCCTTTACCTATCTCTACACCTAGAGAATTCCCAAAGGTTCTTCCTACCTTCTTGAGCTTCTTAGTCCAGGGTTTCTGAGCCCGCTGGAAACCATTTTCTAGCTCGCAAGTCTCCTTGAAGCCCCCAAAGAGCTTGCGGTGATAGGAGTCATGCTGCCAGGATCGGATACGTCCAGCATCCTCAGAGACCAAAGCCCTTTGCATCTCCATGTGTATTTGGCTTAACCGCTCAGAAGCCCCCAGGAAAGCTTGCCATGCCCGGAGTAGGGAACCATATACCGGGCCTAGAAGTGAAGGAAGAAGGATGGGTAATGACAGGAATTCATAAATTCCTTCACTGCAGCAAAATTGAGAACAAGTGATTTCTTGGGATTTGAAGAATGCAAACTTGATGCTTTATTGAGGAATCGGAAAACTGGAGAAGTGAACTAGGCAGAGAAGCCATTTAAAAATTGACTTTGCTGGCAACTTTTACTCTGCTGTAATCATGTGCGGGATTTTCTCCACTAACGCAGATGTTAGTACAAGGGAAGTGAGGTGGGCAGAGATCCATATTCCTGTCCTAGAGTAGGACATAAAATTGGCCTACTCTAAATGAGTCTTTTTCAACCTTGGCCATATTTGGACTTCAACTCCCAGAATTCCTCAGCCACCTGTGCTATCCACACATCTTGGAGGGGGCAACATTGGTGGTGCAGTGGTTAGAATACAGTACTGCAGGCTAATTCAGGTCAAGGTTGACTCAGCCTTTTATTCTTCCGAGGTTGGAAAAATGAGGACCCAGATTGTTGGGGGAAATATGCTGGCTATATAAACCACTTAGGGAAGGCTATAAAGCACCCTGAAACGGTATATAAGTCTAACTGCTATTGCTATTTAAGTGGAATCAGCCAGATAAATGATATGGCAGCTGTAGGAGTGTCTATAGAATATGATTTAAAAAGTCAAGATGGTACGTAGCTGTGACTGTGTAATTGAAACTCCACCTGTTTTTTTTTATGTTTCATCAAGGTGCTTTGATTGCCTTATCATAGTGAACAGCTTGATTTTTTTAAAATCACACCTTGCAAACACCATTGGCCAAATGGCAGCCATGAATTTTATATCAGGTATTTCAGCTATGCTCTTGGGCTACAGAAATGGGCCTCATGATGTTCTATATAGTGCAACATTTATTACTGATTTTTGGCAGGACACTTCCTGATCACAGACTACCCAACTATGCTTTAAAATCTATAATAACATGATGACAGCATCCTTTGGAATGACATCACCTGGACTCTAGGAGATAATTCCCAAAAATATATGTATCCTGAATTATTTGCAGATGAGTCCCAGCATTTTACTAATTGCTCAAGACTGCAGTTTCAGGTACATTAAAAAAAAAACCTAACAGCATTCTCATATAATAGATGTTAAAATGCCTCAGGGCAAGTCTCTGGAATATAGAACATCTAGATTTTCTTAGATAACTTTTAAAAGGCATGGTTTATTTGGCTTTTCAATTGCATAGGTTGTCAACAGCAACTATCCTTGGAAAAACCAGTTTCTTCTGTAGGCATCAGAGCAAAGATATTACCATCCTGTCAGAAACACTTATCCTCCCATAGACTTTATCACGATGAAATCATTACTTCAAAGGGGGAAAAAATCACCCAGTCCGATATCATGGGAATTATCTACCCATCTTTTGAAATTACAACTAGGGCTGGTTTTGGGAAATTTATTATAGTATTATGACTAGCTATATCAACATTCTAGATAAATACAGCAGGGCTGGGAAAGTTGAAAGGAGAATTTTCCTGGAACATATTTTGAAATGGTTTCATAGTATATTCTAGGAATAAAAAGAAAAAACTAAAAGTTTATGGCAAGAACAAACTTTACTGAATCTTGAAATAGAAAAAAAGAGACTTTTCCAGCTATTTTTTTTTTTACATCCATGGGATCTCTAAAAAACTCTACAACATTTGCTGTCTCTTGTTTCCACCATTCCTAATCATTGCAATCACCATTATATGTAATGTAATTGGTGATAAAACCTGATTTTATATACCTCAAGGTTGTCCTTTAATGATTTTGGACTAAAAGGGAAATACCTTTTAACATAAGGTAAAGGTAAAGGTTCCCCTCGCATATATGTGCTAGTCATTCCCGACACTAAGGGGCGATGCTCATCTCCGTTTCAAAGCCAAAGAGCCAGCACTGTCCGAAGATGTCTCCGTGGTCATGTGGCCGGCATGACTAAATGTCAGACGTGCACGGAATGCTATTACTTTCCCATCAAAGGTGGGCCCTATTTTTCTACATTCATTTTAAACATGCTTTCGAATTGCTAGGTTGGCAGAATCTGGGACAAGTAACAGGAGCTCACTCCATTATGCAGCACTAGGGACTCAAACCGCCAAACTGCCAACCTTTCTGATTGACAAACTCAGCATTTTAGCCACTGAGTCCCTTAACATAGCAAATAATAATATGTTTCACTCATGGACTGGGGACAAATTGAAGGCAACATCATGGGCACATGGTAGGAAAAAGATGTTGCAAGAATGCTTTGGGGAAATAGTTAGGTATAAGTGCGGAAAGACCCCAAAAGGCTGATGGGGTAATAATTAATTCCTCCAATTCCCTATATTGCTTTCTGTTTTTGTGGTGGGCTGATGCTTTGCCTACAGAAATAAATCAGGGTAAAACTGCATAACTCAGAACTTGGAGACATAGACATGCATTAAAGATACAAGGAAGGTTGGATTTACAACACGTAATTTACAACAAGTAATGTTGCAAATAACTTGAGAATAAACATTCTAGGTGTGGCAAAGTGTTGGCCTTAATCCTTGAGGAAATAGCAAGCATACTAATTTATAGTTAGAACACACATTTCTATCAGTTTTTCCCCCCAGATCCCCATTTCTTTCAAATGAAACTCGCATATAAAGCAAACCAGAATTTGGAACAGCCACAGAAAAAGGATGAAGCCACTCACTTGCGTCAACCAGGGGCCGCCATTTGCGAGACCATTCATCCATCATCAAAGCATAGTTACGTTCAATCTTTGCCCGTTCCTGGAAGCAAGCTACAATCTGGTCACAGACACGGTACCCATCATCCAGACGTTTGACTGTGCTCTGGTAGCGATTGGGCTGCAGGAGAAGGGATGGGAAGAAGGGATGGGGAGTGGTCTCCATCTCGTGGTGGAGGAATGCCCCTTCAAAACAGTGCCTACCATTTAATGCCTTCCCTTCCAAATCCCACAGAGTTCTACCTCCTCTGGGGTCCTCCTGTGAATTCCAGCCAGAATCAAACCAACCCCATTTGAGGTTTTTGAAAAACAGAGAATCCCAAGCACTGTCATTAAGTGTTCCAGAAAAACAAGTATAAATTAGGTATTATGACTTTTAATTATTCTAAAAGAATATGGGATAAATGTGTTTTTAAAACTGGAAGTCTTTGCACAACATGCTAATCCATAATTTACCAAATTACAATGTGCTCAATTAACCCACTTCTCAGAATTTGCACAACACAGAGAATCATAAATTATGAGCTGGGTTCACTCAACCCAGTAGGCTAAAGTATGAGTAGCTAGTCTGAAGTTCAAGGAACATTGTTTTTAATGTATCATTTATTTTTTAAATAAATGGGGGGGAAATGTTGCCAGACATAACAAAAAATTCTGATACTGAAGTTTGCAGTGCTATAGTCAAGTTCTTTTTTCCTGTTTAAGATTAAGTGATGTGATAATGAAAAATCCACATTACGAGAAAGGGAAATTTTGAATAAGCAGACTATTGATATCCTAACGCGGCTTTCTTCACAGTAATTTGGGACTGTTATTGCTTTCTTCTCCCCCCACCCAACTTTCTAATCTAGCCTACAACTTGGATATGCCTTTAAGAAAATCAGAAACCTTCAGTACCTCAGCTCTCCCAATTTATCTTTTTACTACCCTTTCCTCAATGTCATGCAGTCTTCACTTCACTAATTTTTATCCCAAGGAACTGGCCCTTGTAGCCAGTTCAGAAATTGCAAAATGGGCAGCTTACAGGTGGCCTTTGGGATGCCCATGTTACACCTCTCCTCTGAAACCTGCACAAGCTTCCAGGGTGCTCCTGGATGAAATTCAGAGCCAGTTGGGTCTGGTGTCTGCCATGGCACCAGGCCAAGAATGCAGGAGACTGTGAGTTCAATTCCTTTCCCCCCACCCCTAGGCTTGAAAGGCAACTGGGTGACTTTAGGCCAAGCACTCTCTCTTTCGGCTAAGCTCACCTCACAGAGTTGTTATTGTGGAAAAAATAGGAGGAGGAAGTGTGTTGGATATGTTCGTCACATTGAATTGTTTATAAAAATAATAAAGGCAGGATGCGAATAAGCAAACAAATAAATGTTTTTTTAATTATTCCAGATTTTTCCACCCACCCCATTAGGTCCGATAAGGGGGACACACTCTGGACCCCTTCAATTAAAGAAGGTGATTCCCCCCCCCCCTCATAGTGTCTTCTCTCTGGAACCCTATATCCTCCTGAGATCAGATTAGCCCTGATTTTGCTGGCCTTTCATAAAGCATTAAAACCCAGGACGGAAGTGAAGGTTGAAGGTTAGATGAGTTTTGAGAGGACTCTATTAATTGTTTTGTTTGGAGACCAATGCTGTTTTTTTATTCCTTGGTAATAAATTTTTGAAATTATTTTATAAATATGTTAGCCATTCAGAATAACATTCGCAAGTTGGGTGGGCCTGTAGAAAGAAAGAAAGGAAGGAAGGAAGGAAGGAAGGAAGGAAGGAAGGAAGATACCTTCCATCATTCTCAGATGCCATGTTCATACAATACGTTCCACCAGATGTTATTTTGTATTTTTGTTTTGTAGTTCGGCATGTGGTGCAAACTCAGTCCTTTTGGTTAGCTTAAGATTCAAGGTATTCTGGTGATCTAAAATGGGCTAGCTCAGGAAATGAGTCAAACATGTTGCATACACATACATTGAACCTCCTCCCCTCCTGCCACCCTGACCCTCTTATCAGCTACTCACCATCCAGAAGCTGTTGGTAGTTGGCTCATCGGCAGCCACCTCGCTGTATATCACAGACATAGTATCACCTGTTTAGAGAGAACAGGTCTCATAGGGCATCCAAAAGTATCAAATAAAGTTCTCATCTTCAACAATTGTTTTGCAACCACATTCCAGATGTAATCATGAAGAACCTAACTTAATAATATGTGAGAATGATCTTGGAAGACAGAATGGAGAGCCACAGACTAGGCAACCGGCACATAAAAGATATCTCAGGCCACCAAAGGAGAAAGATGAGGGACGTGTTACAGAAGGATCCCTCTCTATTTTTTGGAGAGTAAAAAGAAAAGAGGGGGGAAATCATTTCAGTTTTATTTATGAGCCACGGTGGAGCAGTGGTTAGAGTATGGTACTGCAGGCTACTTCTGCTGACTGCCGGCTGCCTGATATTTGGCAATTCAAATCTCACCAGGCTCAAGGTTAACTCAGCCTTCCATCCTTCCGAGGTGGGTAGAATGAGGACCCAGATTATTGGAGGCAATAACCACTTAGAGAGGGCTCTAAAGCACTGCGAAGCGGTATATAAGTAAGTGCTATTGCTATTTTATTGTATTAATTATAAAATTTATTGGTTCCCCCTTCTTGCCATAAGGTAACTCTGGATGGCTTACAGACATAAAAAATGCACCTATATTAAAACCATGAATAAATTAAAATCAAAAATTAAAATCAAGGTCACATGGAGAGGATGAGGGCGGAATGGGGGGGAATGTGGGATCTGTTGTTACGCCACCTCCTCTGTGCTGTTCCCCCATGGGGGCTCGAGGCCAACTGGCAGAGCTGGTCTTTGGATCTTTACGAAAGGATAGGAGGGTTGGGGCCAATCTCACATCGGAGGGCAAGATGTTCCAGAGGGCAAAAGCCACAGTAGAGAAGACCTTCCTCCTGGGCTGATGGGACCCGCGCCATGCCTCCTCTGTTGGCATGAGTGGGACAGGCCAATCCCAGGGTGGTGGAGCGGTTCCTCACATAATCTTTGCAAGATTCTGTTACTGTGATCTTATAATAGAGACCAGTTAGTTCTTATGATTGTGCTTCTTCTCTGGATTAGTCTTAAGAGCTAATATTCATCTTTAGGTTGAATACTGTCGATAACAACGTATTCCGTCTTCACTTTGTTCCCTTGTCCAGAATTCTTTAGAAATCCTGGACTTTTAAAAGATATAGGGAGAGAATGTGCTCCCTGCATAAATAATAGATCCTTTTGATTTAAATATGAGCAAGTTAATGGCAGATATACCATCTAATCTACATGCAGTATTTTCAAGTGAAACAGGGGGTTTGTTTGTTTTTTTAAACCCTCTCTTTTCTGTCTGAATTCCAAGAGTTTCCTCATAAACCAAAGCATTGGTTAGGACACCCAGGTCCTGTGTTTATAGAATATAATTTCATTTATTTTCCTTGGATGAGTTTGCATAAAAATCCTGAATAATAGACTCACCAAGCTAAGACTAACCCTTAACCAAGATGAATGCCGCTTTGGCTGTCATTTTGCCTGGCCAATCTAAGAGTATTGGGTGAACATAGCACAGCCTCACTGGTGTAATGATACGGCTTCCTATCTCTCGGGCAAACGTTTGGTAAATGGAGGTATCCTTTTTTTGGAAGTGGAAGTTTCCAGAGATGAGAAGTTTATAGAAAGTGGAAGGTGCTTTGTTATACATATTGAGGTTGGGTCAGTTTTCTAATTTCCCTCCTATCCTGGGGCATTTGATGAAAATGAAATTCTTTGAATTTAAAATTATGATAATTTTTTAAAGGGCTACCATTACAGTTTTCAGGTGCTTTTAATATCGAAATCTGGCCCTAGGTTCTGCCTCAGTTTACTTTCCCAATAAGCAACCGAGTCAGAAGATCATTTAAAAGCAGTTTATTAGGGTGCCCTGATAAAGTGGGATCTCCCTATGAAAAGGGAGAATCTCAAGACCCATTTATTTGCCCCTCATTCTCTCTTCCAAATATGTTCAGTTCAAATGACAAGAAGATGCAAAGTTGGTTTTTACAGATCTTTGGGAAAGGACACTGAAGACCATAAAAAGGGGACTGCAAATTACCTACAGGTATCTGTTTGCCCACCATTATAACAACCCTTTTACAGGACTGTCTCTCCCCAGTGGTGTCTATCCATCCTGTTAGATCTGGCAGGAGAGTCCTGGTCCTATTACCAAAAAAATAAAAAATCATCTGCTGGGACTCAGGATATTTTTTTTACCTTGGCACCTGCCCTCTGGAACATCATCTCGGAATTAGACTTGCCCCAATCCTGTTGGCCTTACACAAGGATCTAAAAAAACTGAGTTTGCACTGAGCCTGGGGCCTTAATTACATGGATGAGTCTGTATCATGGCTTGTTACAAGCATTTATGAATCTCCTTGACTGCTATTTTTATGTTATTATTGTTGTTGTTGTTGTTTGGTTTCTTTTTTTTCCATTCTGTTTTATTGTGAGCCATCCAGTCCTGTGTATGAGATAGGTGGTCTATAAATTTACTAAACCAATCAATCCCTCTGAAAGCAGAAGAAAACTGCAAGTATTTGGTCCTAAATGTTCAAATGTGCCTTACATTGAATTTGAACAACTTTTGTTCATATAGACACCTCTAGGTATGCTGTTACTGGAGGATTTTTAAGAAGAGACTGGAGAATCACTTGTCTGAAATGATACAGGATCTTCTGCTTGAGCAGGGAGCTGGACTAGAAGATCTTCAAAGTCCCTTCCAGCTCTATCCTGATTCAATGACTAAAAATCCCACTACATGGGAAAAAGCTGGGTCTTTTTTTGCCCAAGTTCTTTAGCTTGCCTCATTCACAGATTTTCCACATATGAGATGAGGTAGAAAATCTCCCCTCTCTATTTATGAAATAAATGACTCCATTGATCAGATTTAAGAAAATGGAGTAAGAAAATTCATCTGCACACACATACTTGTCATAATAAACACTTTTTTGCAACTCTAATTACAAGAGAGATTCAAACCATGTAGATCACATAAAAGCTGATGCATTAGCAGCACAGATGATTTGGAATAAGCAAACTATTGAAGAAATGTAACAGAACTTATAATTAAATCCATAGTGTACTTATTTGAATTCAGTTGAGACATTCCCAATCTTGGGCTTCATAAAGCAATAGATAAAAACTCTTGGGAGCTGCCTGCTTACTTTGACAATTTGAGGATCTACCCTTCATACGTTTATCTTAAGAAATTATCTTTCTCCGTATATTATCTTCTGATCTTTTAGAAGTTTCTTATCCCAACTATAACAATTAACGTTGTATGACATGCATTATTTCAGCCTTCTTTCAGAAGTATAGAGGTGGCTCTTTTAGAAATTGCATATTTCTAAATAGTACTTATATAGCTCAACAGTGCCCCTAGAGAATTTGATGAGTTTTATACAGTACAGTGTAAAAAAAAAAAACTGAATAACAGTCCACATCTTTTCTCAATTGCTATATTGATTTTGGTGTCACTTTCCATCCTTGTCTTTAAGATACATCCACGCTTTTTTTTGCCATGAAGGATCCCATTGCAAATAGATCCATTTTATTAGCAGTCAATTGAAGAATCCATTAAGAGTCTGACTTCAGCTATTAACTTGCTGATCAAAAAAGCTGGGATGCCATTCTGGATACAAAAACAGCTAATTTTCACGAAAGGGTTGATTCTTTATCAGAACCCTGTGAAAATGGGGTTCTTCTTCCCCATTTTCCAAGAAAACCTCATATTTGTACTTGAGGATTGACCATGTTCTAAGAACTGAAACATTCCTCTGTTTAGAGTAGGAATACTTGCAAGAGAACCAGTCTACACGTGTGATGCAGATCAGAGGTGGTATTCATCAGGTTTTGACTAGTTCTAGAGAACCAGTAGCGAATATTCTGAGTAGTTCGAAGAATTGGTAAATACTACCTCTGACTGGCCCCGCCCCCATCTATTTTCTGTCTCCCAAGTCCAAGCTGATCGGGAGGGAATGGAGATTTTACAGTATCCTTTTCCTGCCAGGCCCACCAAATCACACCACACCCACCAAGCCACGCCCACAGAACTGGTAGTAAAAAAAATTGAATCCCACCACTGATGCAAATGTTCTGAGTGCATCCCTCAAGTAACAAGATTATATTTACTTAGAACCTGGCCGGTCAGTCAAACAATTTAGGACTGCGTGGCTCAGAAAAAGGGAGCTTTATACGATGTAGTAAAAATAAAGTTTTGTGGCAGTTGGCAATCCAATGCCTATCATGGTTGACTGCAGTCCAGATCCTACCCTGAATTTCATCAGCCCATGCAAAGATTCTCCCTGGATTTTTGGAGATCACTATTTTTCCTTCCAAGCTTTAGTCATACAGGGGGAAAAAAGAACTTTTTTAGTTTAGTTTCCTCCTGCCCTATATCTGGGCCAGGAGGAAAAGTAAGGGATAACGAATGAAAATTCTTTTCAAGAATGATGGTGATTAGCTGAACTCAAAGCTTCAAAGCCATATAAGGAAAAATAATGGCGATGGGATACTAGGGTAATCTGAGCTTAAAATTAGCATCTAAATTGCATCTCTCAAATACTGCAATTTGGATCAACTGTTCTGATGAAGCTGTTTTTCAAAACTTTTTGCAGCATTAAAAATGAGTTTAATTTATTCCTGAGTGTTTCTTGGCAGTTGATTAAACTTAAGTGTTTGCTCTTTGTTTAGTTAGTCCAGATGCTTTTGCTGCATCTGGAATTTTTGGGGAGGAATTAACTGTGACCTGGCTCCAATCATTTTTTTTATAGAAGCAGATAAAATTTATCTTAGTCATACATGTCACCTCCGGAATAACAGGTTTGAATGTTCTGTGCTAGCACACTAATGGAAATTGTTTGGTCAGAGTTTTATGAAGGAGTAGAGGAAGTGTCAGTCTCTCAGCAGATTAAGCACTGAAGGTATTCATCTCATGTTAAGATCAGAACGTTTCCTCTAATCTAAAATTAGGCATATATTGGACACTTCAGGGAATGTTTAATAAAGGATTGATTTGACTGTAATTGG